TGTAGACCGTGCCACGATTTTGAAGCTGAGTCAGGCTGGGTAACTCAGAAGGAGATTGGAAAATTCGTTATCGGGAAACTGGTAGCAACGAGGATCGTCATCGAAGTGGAAGAAGAGTCTTACTATGGACAAGCGTGTTCGAGACAAAGTCCGATTCTTGAAAAAATCGTCAAGCATCATTTCGGGCTTTGTAGCATCAAAATGCAAAAAACTCACACTTTGACGAATCAGATGAAGGCCAATCGCATTCAGAGATGCCACTAACTTCTGAAACGCTATTCCCCGCGGCGCTAAAACACATCTTTATCAAAGACGAGAAGTTTTTCACGATCGAGCAAACATTCAACCAAAACGAGAGAATTCTAGCGTGAACGGTTCAGGAAGGAGCGTGGTCGTTACGTTTTTGGAAAGGATTATATTGCGCAGGTCATGGTTTGGGCCAAAGTGACGTAGACTGGGAAGATACCGCTAACTTTTGTGGATCAGGAAGTCAAAATCAACTCCCAGAACCAGCCTGATGAGATTCTGATGAAGGAAGTGTACAAGTACAAGGCTAAGGTGCTAGGTTTAGCACTAGTGCCGAACCAATTTTCCAGCCATGATCACTTCCACTAATTTGAACAAGAATCTTCAGTCTGAAGCGCGCCCATAAGAGGCATGGGACGATCTCGACAATGACCTCTCCGCTACAGTGGCTGCGTTCTGTTCTGTTTTTATCTACAGAATGTTGTGCTACCAGACTTTTATGATACCCTACATGATTCTTATCAAGGGATTCATTTTGAGACCTTGATTTTGAATCGCTGTGTCTCAAAATCCATATTCAGATTTTGAGGCGCAGACTCACAAGTAATAACATGTGGTGGAAACGATGTAGATGGTTGGCATTTTGAGATAGTAAGTGTTGATAACTTTTTTGTATTTACGGTTTGAATTGGTGCATTTAATGAATATGATGGTATCACAGGAAAATTTTATTATTATTTAAATTGGCGAACGAGAACGGTTTCTACCACTCACAGAGTGGTTACAAATCTCTAAAGAGGCTGCAAAAACGCACAACAATCATTATCGGATCACCTCATATGGCCGTTAAACCCATGACAATGTACAGCCTCAAATCATTTTCATATAAATTTGCACTTTAAATGGAGGTAAATGATAAATAAACCTTTATCATTATGAAAAACATTCAGATATAACACATTTGAAAATGTTAATTGCAATTATACCTTAAAATTGAACTGTAAAAATAATTAGCTATTTCAATTTGAAGGAACAAAATTAATCTTATTTTAACAGAATAAGTTGAAATGTTTTGGATAAACGTGTAATTTTTTTATTGTCAGGTAAAGTTGCTAGGAGCAACCGTCCCGGCCGCATCTAACATAAGAAGTGATGACTCAAAAATAAAAACGAGATTTCTACAGAATTGAAACGTAAAAGATTACATTATTAAAGTTAAGAACAAAACAGAGTCAATTGTAACAAATAAGCCATAATTATTAATAATAAGAGGTAAATAAAATAAAAAATCATAATAAATAGAATCCAAAATTGTAAACACTAACAATACGCGAATAAACCTCTTATAAAAAAAAAATTTAATACGAGTTACTTTTGTATGTGAGCTTTAAAATAAAACGTTTTAAAATTCAAACAACGAAGTGAACTTGTTGTAAATGTAGTTTTAAAATTTTTTTTGGTCATAAAACCGCTTTGCCCATCATCCTCACGTTTTTTGTCTTTTCACCTCCACTATTATTTCTCCACACAATAAATTAAAGAGGGGATGTTAGGAAGTTGGTACCCTTAAATCACATTTTAGTTGATATGCCGGCTGTGAACGATAACGTAATTGCTGAAAATAAAACTTATTACGCGTATTAAGTGATAAATTTGTTATATTTGTGCTGTTACGTGAATATCTGTGTTTTATGTGATTAATAAGAAGACTAAATCAGTGATATTGGGATCATCGGATTGCTATTTTACGGATGTTAAATGGTATCGTATTAATTTATTTTTTGTCGTAATATAATAATTTGTTGCTTTTTTCCAGCTGAGTTATAAAGGGGAAACCAAGGATAACAACATCCGTTCGGTGAGTGATTTTGAAATTTATTTATTTTTAATTTTTACCACAACATATTTTGGTAATTCGCGATTTAAACGGTATAATATTTCGATATAAAAACAATTTTTTACGCTATTCGTTGGATTTGTGTAAATTTAGATAGGTATTTCGCAATTTTACTACTATTCAATAAAATTTTGCATTTGTTACGTGAAAAAATCATAAAATTTTAATTATTAACATTGCCCAAATATGAAATAATATGAAATAGTGTGTTAACCACTCAAATAATATTAGTATAATATAATTTATTTATTAATATGTGCAAATAATTTAATTTAGAACAAACACAACTAATCCACTAGACTCGCTGAAACCTACTAAAATCAATATTTGTCAGATAATTGCTATAAAATTAATCCTAGCATATTATCTTCCTAAACAAATACCTTAAATCTTATTTAAAATACATTAATGTCTTGAACAAGTAATATTGTTAAACTAAAAAAACTTGCTCGTTTTTCGGAATTTTCCAATTTCAAGTTTTTTCTGGCTCAATTTTATCACTATGACCCTTTGATTGTCGACAATTCCAATTTTAGGGAGCTTGTCGGGTATTTTTTCCATTCCAGATGGAATCACAAAACGGTTTATCCGAAATCAAACAGTTTTGTCAAAAATCGTATAACAGGAGTTAAATTACTTTTCTTTTGGAAAGTTTGTAAAAAAAATTAAAAAGAACTGCTAATAATCCTATTAAATTCTTAGAAACTATCGCAATAATACCATATCAATGTAGAACTAAATACACACTGATATTAAATTAGTCAACACACATTATAGCGCCTCAGTTTTAATCAGGGTGGAGAAGGTATGATTCTATCCAACTAACCCGAGAGTGCTTATGGAGAGTTTTTGTTTTGTTCTGGCCATTTGGGATGAGCGAGCTAATTTACCATTTTGTAGAAGGTAAATAAAATTTCTAGGAACTTATTAACGACGCGTTTCCACCGAAAACCTTGATTCTTTGAGCAATGTTTAGCAGTTGGAGAATGAGAAGGGAGCAAATCTTGCGGCAAGATCCAGCAATGCTGAAGGTCTCTTCTTCAGAGGTACTGCTGCAACCAACACATTTTTGACAGTCGGAAGAATTGCTGGTATGATCGTCGTTAGCATCGATTGAGAAATTGGCGTTGTTGGGCAGATTCTTTGATGATAATGTTTCGCAGAACCACAATTTTCTTCTTTTTAGCAGCTTTGAACAATGTTAGGTGATGGAGATGGTCGCCAGACCTGGTGGCAGATTGTGGCGGCTAGTTTAGAGCTACGTTTGATGATTAAAGTCTTTGTAGGAATAACGAATTTACTGGTAGCTCTCAGAGTGTAAGACCAGACTTATATCTTCGCCCTATCCCGAGTCATATAAACTCTGGTTTCTGCTTTCAATACCTAATGCCAATGTTTTTGTGGCTTCAAATTTTGATTGGTGATGGTTTACTTTCCGAGGGCGAATTTCGTTTTCAGTTCCAGTTCACAATATGAACAGATTCAAATGCATCTGGACAATTGGAACTTTGAATCATTGCGTACTGCAACTTTTGCATCATAGCTTCGTGATATTACTTCCTGAAATTTTGCTTTGGCGAGATGTACGCTTCTATTCAGAACTATTTCTAACGTGGTTCTATATTAACATCGTTATCTTTAAGCATTATCCCAGATATCTCTCAAAATCGTTTCTGACATATCTCAACATAATATCTAGTATCCCTCTCTGTACTCACTAACATCATCCCCAACATCTACTTTGATCTCATTCAACATAATATTCTCGAATATCATGTTTGGCATTCCTCATCAAAAACGTTGCTATATTTATATGATTCAAAACAATATTTGAAGTTTTGATAAAATTTTCAATGTTGCAATTTTCATCAATAACTTTCAAAATTCGTTATAAAATCCATTTCTTGAAGGATCCTTGTAGAAATATCGCCAATTATTAATTAAAGTATCCTCTTTCTAGAGTTGCTTCGTGAATTAAATCAGCAGCAAAAAAGTTCATTTTGTATCTTGGATCCAAATAAGTTGACATATCTTATCAGCTTTCTTATTAATTTCATGTTTATTCAAATATCGCAATAATGTGGCAATGTAGGGTATCACTTCAGAAATGAAAATTTAAAAAAAATAAAACGAATATTATCACAAATTTTCAAAATAGATAGCCAATCATCAATCAAACTTCCGGGGAAGAAGTCCGAACTTAGGAAAGGAGGAGTTATATGGTAGCAGGTGTTGCCGTCATAAATAATAGAAGTAATTCGCGTCTAGTTTCTGAGAATTTAATAGAGATGAGCAAGGAGTAAAAATAAGAGCGGCTGCATATTATTAGCAGTTCTTTTTAAGTTTTATTAAAGTTCTTTTGTAATAGTCTTGGGGTTATATGCAATAGTGAATAAATAAATACGTTAAGCAAAAACAATGCTTTTTAAAAACAACACCAGCCGGCTGTAACGCTTAACTTATACAACATTAAGTAGAAATTTAATAGAATTCATGGAACATGTATTGATTTCCTGTGCGATTCTACTGACTTATTAAAAATTCTGTAGTTATTAACTTTGCGAAAGATTTTAATAAATACTAAGAAATTAAAAATTATAATTTCATAGTATTTAACGAAATAACCAGAAATTCTACAAAGCAACAACACGATTATCCTCGGAATTAGGGTTAATGCCATAAAAGCATACTTGGTATACACCACAAGGTGATTATATTTGTAATTCAGAATAATCCTATACAACTAAACTTGAATTTGGATGTTTCTCATAAGATAACACTAAAAAATTGACCTATATATCAACTAATAAAGCAGATCGGAGTTTTTTCGTTATATAGCATAATATAAAAAACTTACAATTAACACTTAAGGTGACTGTAGCTTCAAGTTTTTTATTCTGACCCATGGCACGATTCCATACTTCACAACGAAAAACAGCGCCGTCGTCTTCTTTATCCGGTGTGATGGCTAATGTGGCGGTTGTGGCTTGGTCTCGAGATCCACCGTTTTTCAAAGCAGTCTCCAAGGGATAATCACTGTCTGAAATAGAAAGAAAATTGAACATTAACATTAAGAAACGATGAAGGCGTGGTGGATTTTTCACCCAATCATGTTCTTTAATCACGATTTCTTAAATTAAACGGGAAATAAATTAGTTTTCCTTTGTTATAATTTGTTTTCGATTATAAGCGCCTAATTACAACACATCACGAATTATATTTGCACATTCAAAATGGAATAGGGGGTGAGATTCCTTCTGTTTCCTTTCTCCAGTTCTCACCCACAATCGATTTCCTTCAGGTAATATTTAAGTCTGTAATAAACCCCTAATGGGGTTCCCGACTCCTTCTCTCCCTTAATCCAGCATAATTAAGCTGCCCAAAATAACATTTCGAGACTCGACAGTCCCTTCCCACCGCTGCTTTTTCTACTCTTGTAATTAGTGCGAACTTAGCTTTAATTAAATTCGCGCTGACTTTATAACGACTGATTGAATTCGCCGTTTAGCAGTTTTTGAAACTCGAAAAAAGTAAATTAAAAAAGGGGAGAAAATTTAGTAAAAACGGTATCGCTTTTTTAAATATCTTTTGATACCCCGGAAATGTTCAAAGGTTGAAAGAAAAAAAATGTTAGACAAAGACTAAGGGGAAAACGAGTGAGAAAGATGGACCACCGAGGGTGCCACGGCACAATTCATTAATTAATCTGTTTGTTTCTTGTGGAGGCAAGCGGTCTAATTAACGTAGCCATTTCCAAAGGACTGCGTTGGGTTTTCTTTTTAGTGATTCATTTTATGTGGCACCTTTGAACGTTGAATAATAACCTAAAATAATTTATAAATGTTTTGTCAAATTGCTTCATACAAGCTTCAAATAAGACTAAATATAATAACATTCCATGTTGAGATAGTCCTAGGTTAATTGAATACTGTAATCCCACCTTGTCAAAAAGGAAAAGAGAAGCAAAAAGGGACTGAGAACAACTAGAGCGAAATCCATTTCGGTAACGAACGTTGCGGTTTGAACGAGCTACGGGTAATCCACTAAAGTTCTTATCAATCTTCCCTACTTAACACGACATCGTTCATCATCTCATGAGCGTAGCGTTGCTCCTGGAGCCTTTAGCCACCGCGCCGCCGCCGCTCTATTTTTATTTAAGTTTAATTAATTTCGAGACCTCCCCATTCCTCGAACCCCGGTGAAAAATGACGGTTCAATTTAGTCCTTGCGCGGTGATAAATTCTGAACGTTGTCGCCAAGATTAGATCCCCACAGATTTCGGACATTGAATAATATTTTAAACCCAGCTTTTATTCTCAACGATTTAAAATACAGACGAATTTTGATTGATGATCCATAAGGGTTACGTAAAAATAATAAAGGAAAATTTTAAAATTTTATAAGCAATAAAAAATTATAGCTCAAATACAAAGTGTGACATTCAAAGTCCTATCTAAATCATGTGGTGTCGGGATTGTTTTATTTTGAGAGCAGCCGAACCGAGTCCTGGTGCGCAATTCTACCAAGCCACATGATGTAAAACAGACTTTGAATGCCACCCTATAACAGATTGAGAAAAATGGTATGCATAAAAATTCTTCGCAAGTTTTACAACAACTTTTATAAATGTTGACCTTCACTTTATCTACGGTTTCAGTATTAATCCGATTTTAAGTATAAGAAACATAAATAATTTTTACTAGCATACTGTGAGATATTTGTCAATTTTAACTACATTCATCGCATATTTAAGTCCTTACACTAATATTGATAACTGTTTCGGAAAACTGTGTCAGTGATAGTTGGGTATTTTGAAGACTTTTGATTGTGTTGTTCTGAATTTACAAATTTGGGGAGATTTTCAGCCTTAATGCGATTCCTCTATTTTTCTGTTTATGCTTCATGATCATCTGAGGTAAAACATTATATGGACTGAAAGTGGTTGTTCAGCGCTATGGTGAACAATTTTAACTAAACTTCCGACTTTTGTCCAGCTTATACACAGACTCAATTTTACGATATTTAGCATGACTAGGTTCTTGTTGTGTCCTGGCAGAATTACTCACTGGTGTCAAGCTATTTGTGACAGCTTTTATTAAGCTAATGCAGGTTACGTAATATAGATACTGATTGTGCAACTAACACAATAAAAATGTATCAGGAACCTATCATTTAAAATAAAGTGATTTTATAAATCTGCAAACAAAAATTAACCTGGAAGCTTTAATTAATGAATGCATCATAAAGAATGTATAGAAAAAGAAGATATCAACGGAAAAATACCATATTATGATGATCCATTTGATGCATATGATATCATGCACCAAACTATACTATACAAACTATTTTGCATCGATGAAACTATGATGAAACTACCAGGAAATTAGGTTTTAAACATTGCAATTCACAACAAACACATACGTCACCAGGATTTAGGAAAGAAAAGTAAAAACACCGTAGTTAATTTAAAAGTTGTTGACATCCAAAAGTTTCGTAATAAACTATTAGTACAAGACGATGATAGTTGAAGTGAAGATGGTAATCTTCAAAGTGCATGGATAAAATGGAATTGAGTTGAGATTAAAGTAGTCATGATGATTCAGAAACGATAAAAGATAGTTGAGAACTTAACAACGTAAAATGCAAGATGCTGAAATGTTGAAGAGGAACTTAATATATTTATACCGGCAAAAGTGAATAACAAACATTAAAGGCACATGACACCTAAAAAAGTGGAGGAAGCAAGTGTTCAATATGGTTTATGAACGGAAGTAGACCAACCATCAATATGATCAAAAAATTATTCGGGAAGCAAATAGCCTCCATAAGCATATCAGATAAATTGCCCAACAGCGTACCCATTAGAAGTGGTGTCTCAGTGTAATCTTACCAATTCTTTCCAACATATTGTGTCAATAAGCAACTCCAATAAATCAGAAAGTTAAAAAATTTAATTTTGTCCTAAGTGTTGGTTATAGCATTAGTTAGAATGTTTTGTGTAGCACTTAGGATTTATTTTTTTAAATTTTTATTTCATTGATTGAGCAGATCCTCCAAGATCCTCCAGAGGATACTCCAATTTCAGGATATTAATGATAAGGTGACCTTTTCTGTTGATTCAAATTATTGCCCTTAGGTGACTGATAACATCAAGCTCCTTATAAGATTTCGCGATCAGGCTTATAGTAGATTCCGCCAGAACAGTTACACTAACTCGGCCATTCTGATTGTGAGAGAAAAACGGGTGTTCTTAAACACATTGTTTCGGGAGCGATCATCTCGTGATCTTTGGATGAGTTTTAGGAAATTGACTGATACTGGTGCTGATATTATTAATAATTTCCTTCTCAGCACACAAACTAATTCAACGGGAAGTGCTGAGTTGATTGACTTTTATTGGAATAACATACTTCCACAACTCACAGAAAAACCAACATTTTCTCTTACAAATGAAACTGAAATTTTCAATATTCTATGTGGAATCAAATCAAACTCTGTTGGTATGGATGGCATAAGTGTTAAAATGCTTTTATTGTGTTGTCCTGCAATTTTGCCCTTCTTGTGCCATATAATTAACTATTCCATTGAATGTTCTGTGTTCCCTGATATTTGGAAGATCGCCCTGGTGACTCCAATTCCAAAAACCCCTCATAAATTGGGGGACTTGAGGCCAATTAGCATATTGCCTATATCATCCAAGGTTTGTGAGAGGGTCATGGCGGTCAGACTTTGCTGCCATCTTGATGACTATAATGTGTTGTCCAGTTGCCAGTCTGGCTTTCGTCCGGGATTTAGTAGCGCTACTGCGCTTCTGGGTGTGACAGATGAAATCTTCAAAGCAATTGACGACATATTAACACTTTTGTATTTTTCTAAAGCTTTTGATAGAATACATCATGATACTCTAGTGGCTACGCTTCATTATATAGGTTTATCTTTAGGTTCGATTCATTTAATACAAAGTTATTTGTCTGGACGAAAGCAGTTGGTTAAACTTAATAACTTCACTATAAACTTTCTGGGGTGTTTCTACACAGAAATAAGAAAAAAAGCAATACAATATTAGCTACTACGATTACTGTGTTCTAATTGATCTTGCAATCTATAGAATAACTTACTAAACACAAGAAGTTTAGTTTTAATGGGTTAATATAGATACATAGGATCGATTATTTTAATTTTAGAACTACTTTTGAAGTGTACGCCTTTTTAACGCGTCACAATTACGCAATTCCATGCGCCATTCGCTTCTGCACTTATAAAATGAAGGTATACACGTACTTGAATTACTAAATAGAGACATATGTTCCAGCCGTCCATTTGTCAATAAATAATAAGTTTAAAGTTTCGGTAACCGGATATGGCAAGTTGAATTGCTGTACGTTTTTTGTAGGAACAACCTTTTTCCACTGTTACAAAATCTAACGACTCATTGGTAATGAGATTTTACCTTATTAGAAGAGTTACAGAAAATAACAAAAATAAGGTATTCAATTACAGGTTGTTATCAGGTGCACGACAAACAGTGGATTATGCCGTTGAAATGTTAGTAGAGCGATTACGTTTCTTTAGAAAACCATTTGAAATCAATCTTACTACAGTTGATTACGTCGTGAAACAACATGTGTGGACGATATTAATAATGAAGAAACTAGTAATACTAACGAACTAAATTTACCTTATAAAAACTATTCATGTATTGAAAAAAACTGTCTCGATGAGTTCTTTACCTCATTTTACCACATTGACATCTATTATCATCAAATTATTACACAGCGAGGCATTCAAAAGGTTGCAATCAATTTTTATATCTCTCAGGTATTAAATATTAATGGACCTTTTAAAATGTATGAATTTTTAATAGTTACAAAATTTTGCAACAATTTATCGTAAAATACACTATTTTGAACAAAGAAATATATTTAGAATACATTTTACTTTTTTTATAACATTGGTCTTTTTCAGTCACTGCCATATTTCGTTTTGTTAACTTTCATATTAAACATTTAATAAATGATCAAATTAAGGTTTGGACGTGTT